GTGTTTTAAACTGTGCATCTGGTAGGTTGGCTATCTTTTCACTGCTTAGTTGTATTTTTTCTGGAGCTTGATCTGTTCTTTCATGTGGGCCATATTTTTTTTGGTCTCAGTTCACCTGTTACATAGTAAGGGGCAGAGCCTTAGGTATTCACCAGGGTGGGGCAACCCAGGTATTGTGGCACTGTATGTGGGTGAGGGGTCCAAGAGAGAACCATGGCACTTGCTTGGCACTCAGCCAGCTTTCAGTCACTTCCTCTGCTATCCACAATCAAATTGGGTCCTTCTGGTGCTGATTCCCAGGTGTTTGGGCTGTGTACATTCTAGTACCCTGTGGGTCTCTCCAGTGAACTCTCCTGTGAGGTTGGGATTTTCTCCCACCACCACAACCCCCACAGGTTTTTCTCAGTCAGAGGTTTTGTCGCTTTATTTCTCCACACTGTAACCCTGGGTTGCATGGTCTGTCTTGCTCCCAAGTTGTTCCTCCTGGTTTATCTGCAAACAAATATGGGAACACCTGCCTTGCCAGCTGCTGCCTCACCTGGTCCTCCAGCCATTATCTGGAATCCTCTCTGCTGGGCTGCCTCTCTCTGCCCCTCCTCCTTGTCTGGATGAATTATTACTTCTTTAACTCCTTGGTTGTCAGATTTCCATACAATTTTATTTTTTAGGCAGCTCTGGTTGATTTTTGTTTTTAAATTTGTTGTTGTCCTTCCTTTGCTTGTGCGAGGAGGCAAAGTGTATCTATCTACACCATCTTGGTTGGACGTCCATCTTTCACCTTCTTTTTTTTTCCCCATCTTTCACCTTCTTGATCAGTGTGTGGATAGTCAGGGGAAGACCAGACATGGGAAGGCCCTGGGGTCAGGGTGAAATAATGAGGTAGATAACATCTAGAGCTCCTTGCCCCAGAAGAAGAAATAATGGAAACTCTGTGACTAGCTGGAAATCTCTGTACACATTCCAGAGTCTACTCAGTGGTTAAAGGTCTGGGTTTGTTCACTCAGAAGTTAAGCTGGTGTATTAGCTTGAAGCTGGACTCAGCTTTTCAAAATGGAGTCAGCTCTGTCCACACATGTGCTATCATGACAGAGATCAAACCCCTCATTCCACCTAAGGGATAGGATATCAGGTCAGGAATGGTCTTTCCTGGGAATTTAAACTTGAATGGACCAAGGAAGGGAAAATACCTGGTCATCAGGTTATAAGTTATACCAAAGAGAGGTTGATGGTGGAAGGACTTTCCAGGAAGAAGAAGCTACATGTACAAAAACTCAGGATTCAGGAGGGAGCATGAGCTCTTTAGGGAACAAATAGATTAGTGAATGGCAAGCAGGAAACTGAGCTGCATGAGACTTGGAAAAATAGGTAGCATTTGTACAAAGAGGGGCTTATGTATTATACTAGGAGTTTATTCTGTCAGTGGGGAAGGGTGTGACTGCATTATTATAGGCAAGGGAATGAGTCACATTACCAGATTAGCATTTTAGAAAAATAATTATTGTGGTTATGTGGAATTCAGGCTAGAGGAAATGAAACTCCAAGGAAACTTAGAAGTCTAGCACAGTAATAATAGCCAGCATTTATTGAGCTCTTATGTGCCAGACACTGAATAAACTTTAATTATGTAATTTCATATAATTCTCACTGCAACCTATGGCATGTACTGTTATTTCTTAGTAATATACACTTTGTAAAAATGAGTTTTAGGGTAGCTAGGTAATTTGCCTAAGATCACACAGATGGTATATGGTAGAAAAAAGATTTTAACAAAGACTGAATGACTGCAAATAGTAATCTTAATTACATTGCCATACTGTCTCCAAAAATAGTTTTTATAAAGACTAACATTTGAATGCTTGCTGTGTATAAGTATTTGTTCAACCATTTATGTGGATTATTTTATATAATCTAAATAAGAGACGTTGAGTGTCTTTCAAGCACTGTATCAGGGGATATGGAAGGAAGGGACTTCACTGGAGATTCAGGCAGAATTGTCTTGTCTTGCTGACAAATTCAGTATAGGAGGATACATGTAGAATGGCTTTCAGTTTTCTAACTGGAACAACTGGGTGGCATTTATGAGAACTGGGGAGAGGAGAAGGAGCAGGTTTTGACCAGAAAGTACTCAGTTTGTTTTGAATATGTGAAGTTTGAGGTACTAGTAGGACATCTAACTGGAAGTGTTCAAGAGGGATCCAGAGTGAGGAGTCACTGGCATATGGGTAGTGGTGGAGGCCAAAAACAGGGATAATGAACACAGAAGACCTTCCTTTAAATAGAGTGTGGCCCAGATGGTGTAATGAATTGAATATGACTTTTTATGTCAGCATGACCCCAGTGGTAGGGTTGACTATTCTGGAGCTATCTCTCAACCTGCCTGTTTTCTTCCTAGTTGTTCTCCACCTTGACACTCTACACTAAAGATTTCATTTCACCTGAAACAACCCCTGTCTTCTTAAATGACTGTCTTCTAAACAATGGATAAAACTTGCAATATTTTAGATATTCTGTTAGTGGTTTATGGCTGCTGCTAGTTATTGTAGTAATGCATTTAACTGTTATTTTTCACTAAAACATATGCCTTCGGGATGCTTAAGCAAAGAGGACTCATGTAGCAATGTAATCTATGCAACAAACCTGAGATGATAGAAATGGAAACTCACAAATTTAGTTGCAAATGTAAATATAGGTGGTTGCAATAAATGTCTTGGAGAAAGTTCAAAATTTTGAAGAAAGCAAAGTGGTTCCTGTCTAGTAGTAAGATAGTAATTCTTCTATGGAAATCACTGATCTTATAAGAAAATGTTGGCTATTATATATTATTAAATGCCATTTAGCATCTATTCCACTTTAATGTTGCCAGATTGCACTGTAAGGACCTTGGGTTTTAGCTTCTTTTTTTTCTTCTTATGCTCTGTCAGCAAAGTAAATTCTAAATCCCTGAAATCTCTATGCCAGACTTTATGCTCCTTAAGGTTAGCAAGGCTTGTGTGTTATTAACTTGTGTTTCAATCCTAGTACTTCCTATAGTGAGTTCTAGAAAAATTTTTATGTCAAAATGGATTTTTTCCACATTATCTGTCATTATTTATCCACACAGGAATTAGTAGTTATTTTGGGGTGCTAATAGACATATTTACTGCAACAGTTTGCTTTTAACCTCAATGAGTAAGGTCTTAGGTAATTTTATTTTAAGCTTATATTCACAGTTTTATTTTTATCATAAAGATTATTGGTCCTTTAATGCCATTATTTCTTTTTCTTCCTCTTAAGACATTAAGAACCTATGTAAATAGTAATTTATAAAGAAAAGAAAACTTTAGAAGCCTTTTGACATAGAAATATGGAAGGGACTCATCAGTGACTAACTTTTGGTATGAATTTGAGGGGTACATTGCTTATATAGACTTGTTTGTACTTAGGGAGGAGTGAATGTGGACACTTGAGATTATATTGCTGCCACCTTGCAGTGACCACATGTACAAGAGAGAGTATCTTCACTTGCTTGAATTCAAAGTGCTAGGGGACAGATGCAGGCTTTTGTATGATTTTTTTTTTGGACTTTGCTGTATCTACAAGAGTCTCATTTCATCAGCATTCCCAGTGACTTAAGTCATCACTGTTTTTTCCCACCCTTATCTGCTGGGGCTTCATCTTGTGCTTAAGGTATTTCAGCCTGTTGTCAAGGGCCCCTGTAACATGCTCAGGGATGTACTTCATGGGGAGAGGGGTCTAGGCTTTCAAACCAACAAGGTGCAAAGACCAAATATGTATCTTCTTATCAGGGGAAGGAAAGTGGGGTATTGTATGCCTAGAGAATAAAAAAGTACTATGAAATACCAGATTACATGTTGACTTTTACAAATACTCTTCAAGGATATGCTTCTATCATTTCAGACATCTTATTTTGTGTTTGTTTTTCTCTCACAGTTGAATCCAGCCTTCCTTAAATCTAACAAGCATGCGGTTGAGTCTAGAATGTTGCAGCTTTCAGTTTAACAAAAACTTTCTATCTTCGATTCCCTGGCATTAAGTTTATGAGATGTGTTTTTGTTTCTAATGATAGCATTCAATTTGTTCTCTCCTCTCCCTTTCTTTATCCAATCCCTTTTCATATTTCCTAAATACAAAGGCCAAGAAATCAACTCACTCAGGTCTCATTCTTGGAACTGGTGCTAAAGAAGCACTTCTCCCAGTCACCAGCCAAAGAAATTACCATGTTTTGTTCTCAGGCTGAGCTATCTACATGGCAATCCACGCTTCACCTCCGTGTTTTGAAGGAGGATTTTGAAGGAGACTTGATGATACTTTATATCACCATGTTTCACTCAGAACCTGTATCTTTCCTATTATTAATAACCTAATTTTTATAGCATACCAAATGTATTTGATCCACTGATTTAACATTAAGAATGTTAACCTTTCTGACAGTTCTGATTTAAAACTCTATGTATAGATTTTAATAACACTGTTAAAAAACATTTTTTTTTCTTTTGAAAATTGTTAGGCCACTTAAACCACTTTCAAACAATGATTAAGCCCTAAAATCCTATTGATTTTATTTTTACCTGCTTCTAAAAAATGCTTTATTTCTTATATTTAAAGTAATTTAGGATTAATTTTATTTTTAGAACTCTACAGATTTAGGGACAAGTATTCTATGTTTCCTATGTATTTATGGTTCCATGTCATTTAGCAAATGACAACACACGTAATAGGACTCATTATGGTTGTTTTCAGAATAGAAGACTTGGTTGATTTTGTCAAGACCTGATGTCTATTATTATCACATAAATAATAGAAATGCACACTGTAATCAGATAAGTCTTAGAGACCCTCAAGCAAAGATGTAGTTACAGGTGCAATTAACAGTTGTGCCTTCACAATTTTTTGCTTAAATGATTAACAAAGATTTTTTTCTCACCTAGAAAAGTAGGGGAAAGAGGAAGAGACTCCTCTCCCAATTCTATATGACAGGAGTTGTTTTTCTCCAACATTAGGCATGCAAGAAGCCTCGATGAAGCTCACTGAGTCACTGCATGAAGTCTATGAGCCTGACTGGTATGGGCGAGAGGATGTGAAGATGGTTGGTGAGGTAAGAGCCAGGATGGCAGCATACCAGAGGCCTTGGGCATTTCTGCAAGGCTCCCAGCAAGTTCTGCCCACTCAGTCTATTTCCTGACTCCCTCTCACCATTTCTTGGTCTTAATCATGAGGGGACACCATGTACCCAGAAAAGTACCATGCAGATCTGCCACCCAGATTGTCCCCAATTCAGTGATTAGAGAACTGATTGTAAAACCACTTAGATAGAAAGCTGTGTGTTAAAGATAATTTTTTCCTCAAAATAAGAATAGCATTTTTCTATCTCTTACTCCACATCCTAATAGTGCATTTCAGCAGGAAAATGGGCACATGGCATGAGTTTGTGAACCAGCTTCACCTCTGCTTCTTTTCCTATCCCTCCTCAAAAGCAGGGACAGGAACTAGAAAGAGTGTCTATTTCACTTAAGTAACACAACCCATTCGTTGCTTGGAAGAACCCGAGGAGAGATGCAGTTGGCTTGCAAATAGGAGTTTGAGTTATGGGAGACTTTGTTCCTAGACATGTCTGAACACCTGAAATCCAACTTCTAGCTGAGAGCAAATGGGTGTCACTCTTTTGAAGGTAAAATGGGGCAGGTCTGTGTGATGTATGAGGCTGAACAAGCTCTTTAACCTTCTTGGGCTTTACTTTCCTCATGTGCAAAATGAGCATAATACTTGTGCCTATTAATAACACATTTATAGTTTTTGTATTCATGTCACTGCTATCATGCACAGTGCTTGTATTATTACTGGCATTAGAAAGCCACCTGTCAGGGGTTCTGTCACATCCAAGTTCTTCATTAAAATGAAGAGTAGTTTGTCACACCCCACTGCATGGAGCCAATTGCTGCTCATTGAAGCACAGAAGACTCAGGAGATACAGCTTCCATGACTCAGAGGTAGGCCTGATATGTGATGAGCTGACCGTCTACACAGCAGTTGGAACGATGGATTAACAGTTCAATGCCAGGCTGCTCCATGAGAATTCTGACATCTGCACTTTGATCTTTATAATCTCATTATGACTGAGAGAAAAGCAGAGATTTATTTATAAGGAAAACTCTTGTTGACTCTGTTCCCTCTTTTGAAAACTTTCAGGATATTAATTTTCCAGAACCAGCCTCCACACAGCATTTTCCAATGCAATTATTAAGTAATTACATATTGTCCCATTTCTTCAATAACAAAAATACTATTTTAACATTATGTTAAATGTTTAACTCATTTTGTAAATTTCTTATTAATGGGGTATAATTTAAAAATTTGTCATGAAATGAAGAGTTTTTAAGGGAATAGTAGACATCTGTGTTACTGGCTTTTCAGAACACTACTACATTGTATGGGTGGCAGGTGCCATTGTTGACATTTATTCCTAAGGAAACAGCTGCTATCCTACCTTGGTCCTTGTGGTTTCTAGAATTTTTGGAATCTTCAATTGAAGATCTAAATATGGATTCTTTTAATGGTGAAGGAACTGAACACTGCATTTTCAGAGGGTCTATTCAAATCAGAAGTGGTACCTTTTATACAGAGGATTTAAACACCCTCTTTTGTATGTTTTGTATGTACAAAATGTTTGATTTTTGGATCTATAACAAATAGGATTATTTTTTGAAGAAACAAAAGGAAATGTCTCTCCCACCCCCACCCCCAAATGTAATGGCAACATAATAGAAACTTATCTCTCTTACATAAAGGACGTTGGAGGTGGTGAGCCAAGGATGATGTGCTGGACTTACAAGCATCAGGGATCCATCTTTGACAGTCTTGCTGCCTCTGCCAGGTTCAAGATGACTCTCTGAACACTGGCTGTCAACTCCCATTTCTAGTTAGCAATAAGTAAGGTGCATGAAAGATTAGCATCCTTTATGGAATACTTTCTGAAAGTACATCACATTGTCCAGAACTTAGACTCATGGCTACACTTAGTGCAGTGGAGGCTGGGAAATAGAGTCTGTCCTATGCAGCCCTGTTCAACTGACCTCTTTTTCCTTAGATTATAAAAAAAAAAAACAAATGACAACAGTCAACAGAACAATAGGCATCTTGTGTGAATGAATCAAAATTACACCTATTTTTTTGTTTGATCAGCAAAAAGTTTTTGATCAGCAAAAATACCAAAAAAGTATTTTTGGTGTGCCACAAAATTTTAGTGATTATTTTGTGTGTGCTGTGAAATGAAAACAGTTGAAAATAGCTGATTTGACCTAATACCTAGACATAGTGATAGTAGTAGTAGTAGTAATACCTAATATTTATTGTGTATTATCACAATTGGTACTCTATAAATGGAAGATCCTTTCCCATTATGGCAATAATTTTTTTGCTCTCTCTGTGGAAGTTTCAGTGATGGTAGTTTGTTTGGAGTGGTTTCTAGTTTCCTACATGGCTTCAGAAGCAATCCGTGTGGAATTATTCACAGTCTCTTAGCCCAAAGGTCACCTATGAGGATCTACATTCTTTAATAATTCAGAATCAGAAATACCCTTTTGAATGAGCTAAACCTTTAAATAGCCTGTATTGTGATTTAGAACTGGTAGCTAAACTGCCTAGAAATTTTATTGTATTATTAAACAATCTACATTCTTTCTAGCATCTACTATCTGGGAACACATCATTACTTATGAAATATTTTAGTTTCAGATTTTTTTAGAGGTTTGGTGAAAGGTATTCAATTAAACTAATTTCACATTTATCATTTTATTTCTCTTTTTATTTCAGAAATGTGATGTGTTATGGGAAGACTTCCATCAAAAACTAGTGGATGGGTCCTTGCTGACATTGGATACCTATCTGGGCCAATTTCCAGACATAAAGGTATTTTACCCTGTGTCTGTAAAGGGAAGAGTTGAATGATCCTATGTACTTATTGAAACATGAGCAAGAGGAATCAAAAGTCAAAGACAATTGCTAACTTATCATTTATTTGAGTATAGGATTTTTATGCTGTTTCTATAAGTTTGAAATGAAATGTAGTTACGGAAATCACATTTTCCCCTTGAGTGAACTGCTCCAGCTTTTTATTTCTCTACAGAAGTCTTTTTAATCCTATAGGTATAAAATCAGAAATCAGAGATCCCCCAAGTTATAATCTTGTTTGTGTTAAAACCTTTTTATTACATAGCATTTGACAAGAATTTCTACTAGAATAAACAACAGTTACAAGGAAAGGAGAAATTTCATTGCAAATGTGAGAGCAAAGTCTGATTTTTCTTTGTGTACTGTTTATTTTGCATATGTTCATAGCATAGCTGCATAGTTTCTCTCCTTGACATTTTCTGGTTCAAACTGAATTACAGTTGACCCTTGAACAGCATGTGGGTTAGGGCCATCAACCCCTGTGCAGTTGAAAATCCACATGTAACTTTTGGTGCCCCAAAACCTTAACTATAGTTGTCCCTGGGTACCCATGGGGATTGATTTCCAGAACCCTTGCAGATGACAAAATCTGTATATGTTCAAGTCCTTTGTACAAAATGTCATAGAGTAATGCCTCAAGTCAGCTCTCCACTTCTGCAGATTTCTAACTACAGGTTGAAAATACTGTTTTCAGTCTGTGTTTGGTTGAAAGCGAAAATGCAAAACCAGAGTATAGAGATAGCTAACTTTATATTTATTGAAAAAAATCCATGCATAAGTGAATGTATGCAGTTCCAATCCATGTTGTTAAAGGGTAAGCTCTATTAAGATGTAGTTATTTCATATATATTTGCATCTGGATCTAAAAATATCATGTCTAAAATCTTTGTCTTATATGACACTTGGATCATTGAAAAGGAAATGCACAAATGAAGGTTTAAATATTGTAGACTTGGAATTGACTTTAGAGGTAAAGATGGTTTTTACTTCACCAAAAACTATTAGAGCTAATAAATGCATTCAACAAAGTAGCAAAATACAAAATCAATACTCAGAAATTTATGGCATTTTTATACACCAGTAATGAGCTATTATAAAGAGGAACTAAAAAAGCAATCACATTTAATATTGCAATAAAATTATATAGGATACATGGGAATAAATTTATCCAAGGAAGTAAAGACCTGTACTGGGAAAACTATAGGACATTGAAGAAAGAAATTGTGGAAGATACATATAAATGGGAGCATATACCATGTTCATGGATTGGGAGAATTAACATAATTAAAATGTCCATATTCTCCAAAGCAATCTATAGATTCAATGCAATTCCTATTCAAATATCAAAACATACGTCACAGATCTAGAATGAATACTCCCCAAATTTATATGAATTACAAAAATGCCAAATAGCCTTAGCAACCTTCCAAAAGAACAAAGGTAGAGGTATCACAATACCTGATATCAAACTATACTATAAGGCCACAATATGGAAACTGACTGAGGGAGGGGAGTGGGTGGGCTTGGGTGAAAGTGGATAAAGGGAGAAAAAGTGGGGACAACTGTGATATCATAAACAATGAAAAAAGAGATGTTTTTAAACCCATTTAGGTTGTATATAGCAAATGGTAGGATTAATAGGACTGTCCCCTACCCCCAATTGTTTTCCTTGATCAAAGAAGAGTGCCAGGTAAGACAGCCACATACTTTCCTTTCTGTAAGCTGAGGGAGTCATGAGCCAGCATCTATGGGCATCTGCAGTATCTTGTTAGGTGACTTCTGAAGAGAAGTTTCATTCTTGCCTGGTGGCCTTTGTAGCCATCACCAAACACCAGATAACAACCTGCAGTAATATACACTGTCCTTGGCCGTGAAACATAGTGAAGCTTCTTGGCCAAAACACCACTCATGTCAATAAACTAATTTCATTGGGTCCACATAGAATGCCTAGTGCTAATTGGCCAACATCTCAAGAGTGTGTTTTGAAATACCAGGAGCACCCAACAAGAACCAAAGTGGATCAGACTAGATACATTAGTCTTGTTGGTAAAAAGTCAACAAGAACAAATACAAATCATAGATTCTCAATGATGTTATCATAATAGGCAGCAGCAGGCTTTATTGAGCCATTGCATAAGTACATTCAATTAAAATGTGATGCAAATCCTGGCTTGTGGGGTCTGCCACATTGTGGATGAGACACAAGAAATTCACACGGACTACTGAGTCCTATGGAGGAAAAGAGATGACATGGCTTTTCTCTCAAGAGGAGAAAAGCTTCGGCCCTTGCCATGACAGGCCTTTATTCTTTTCTGGGCACATTACATGATGGTGCTCAGTTACTATGTACAGGTTCACTTTAGGTGGTTACCTTTTACAGAAAACAGAGGAGATGCTGCTGCTAACCACATCACAGAAAAAGGATATTTGCAAATGCAAAAGGAAACCTATGAGACAAGGAAAATTATGAGACAAACAGTCTCATAATTTATCACACTCCAGAATATCATTTAATACATGAATATTTAATCTTCATTAAAGTGGTTTAACTGGTTATACTCATCTTTAGAAGGTTTAGCATAGATTTTAGGAAGTTACAGTAGGCACTTGCTGCCTCAATTCAGGGTTAGGGAGATTTAGCAAAGCAAGTCTCATAGCAGTCTAGATACAATGCAGGCCTGATTCCCTACAGGAGAACCTGTTCATGGGTGTGGCTCCTGTGCATCTCTGGGTAGGAGCTGGGCCCACACCCCACAGAATTGTATCCTATAAAAATGAATATGTCAGTCTTTAATTTTCTGAGAAATTAAAAATTAATTTTTAAAAAAATATTCTGTAAGACTGCATGCAGTAGCCTACATGTTTTAGGTTATCTTTAAATTATTTGATAGATATTCAAATCTTATCTTGAAATTTGTAGCATTTGTGATACAAACAGTCTCATAATTTATCACACTCCAGAATATCATTTAATACATGAATATTTAATCTTCATAAAATAACTTCCCATTCTCAACAATGGATGGATCTTCCAAACAAAAAATCAACAAAAATATTGCAGCATTAAATGACACTCTAGATCAAATGGACTAAGTTGATATTTACAGAATATTTCACCTCAAAGAAACACAATATACATTCTTCTCAAATGCACATGGATCATTTTCAAAGATAGACCACATGAAAGCACACAAAGCAAGCATTAACAAATTCAAGAAAATTAAAATCATATCAAGCATGTTCTTGGATAACAAATGGCTTGGAACAAGAAACCAATCTCAAGAAAAAGTCAAAACATTCACATAAATGGAAGCTGAATAACGTGTTATTAAATAATGAATGGGTTAACAGTGAGATCAAGGAAGAAATCAAAAAGTATCTGGAAGCAAATGAAAATGAACACCCAACAACCCAAAACCTATGGGACACAAGGGTATACCAGAGAGGGAAGTTCATAGCAATACAGGTCTGTCTACCTAAAGAAGATAGAAAAATCTCAAATAAACAGCCTAACCCTACATTAACAAGAACTAGTGGAACAACAACAAACAAAGCCCAGATTAAGTAGAAGGAAGGAAATAATCAAGATTAGAGCAGAATTAAATTATATAGAGATGAATAAAACAATTTAAAGGATCAGTGAATCCAGGAGCGGATCCTCTGAAGAGATAAACAAAATTGACAAACCATTAGCCAGACTCATCAAGAAAATAGAGACAGGATCCAAATAAATAAAACCAGAAATGAAAAAGGAGAGGTAACAACTGATACCACAGAAATACAAAGGATTGTAAGAAATTACTGTGAACAACTATATGCCAAGAAATTGGACAACCTGGGCAAAATGTATAAATTTCTAGAAAGATACACTTCCAACACTGAATGAGGAAGAAGCAGAAAACCTGAATAGACTGATAACAACTGTCAAAATGGAAGCAGTGATCAAAAAAATTCCAGGCACACAAGAGCCCTGGACCAGATGACTTCACAGGTGAATTTTACCAAATATTCAAAGAAGAACTAACACCTGTTCTTCTCAAACTATTTGAAAAATTTCAAGAAGAGGGAAGGCTCTCAAACTCTTTTTATAAGGCCAGTATTATCCTAATTTCAAAACCAGGTAAAAACACAAGAAAGAAAAATTACAGGTTTAAATATCTGATAAGCAAACATGCTAATATCTTCAACATAATACTCATAAATGGGATACAGCAATACATTAACAAGATCATACACCATAGTCAAGTGGGGTTTATGCCAGGGATGCTAGAATTATACAATATTTGCATCAATAGATGTGGTGCATGACATAAGTAAAACGAAAGACAAAAATCACATGGTAGTATCAATAGATGCAGAAAAACATTTGATAAATTCCAGCATCCATTTATGATAAAAACACCCAGAAAAGTGGAAATAGACAGAGCATACATACCTCACTATAATAAAGGCCATATACAAATAACTTACTACCAACACCATACTCAATGAGCAAAAACTAAAAGTGTTTCCTTTAAGATCGGGAATGAGACAAGTATGTTTTCTCACCACTCATTCAACATAGTACTGGAGGTCCTACCCATTGCAATCAGACAAGATGAAGAAATAAAAGGCATACAAATTGGAAAGGACGAAGTAAAACTGTTATTTGCAGATCACATGATAGTATACATAGGAAACCCTATAGACTTCACTAAAGAACTACTTGACCTAATAAGTGAATTCAGCAAAGTAATAGGATACAAAGTCAATATTCAGAAATCAATAGCATTTTTGTACACTAACAATGAACTATGAGAAAGAGAAACTTTAAAAACTTTCCATTTACTATAGTAACAACAACAAAAAAAGTACCTAGCAATAAATTTAACCAAGGGGGTAAAAGACCTGTACTCAGCAAACTATAGAACACTGAAGAAAGAAACTGAGGAAGAAACAAATAAATGGAAGCATGTACC